ATCGGATAATGGCGAGAGTTCGTAGAGCTTTTCAACAAACTCATAAGGATCGACATGAAGGTCGTGTGTAGGTGGATCTTGAAGATACTCTATATGCATGCCGACGTAGACGTGGTAGACGTTGCACGTATAATGATGAAGCTGGTCCATCACAGCAACCCAGTCCGTCACAGCCCAACACACAACCGGAGAGCGAGCATATACAAGCTCAAGTCGAAGGAAGACGCCGACGATCTCAACGAGTGCGAAGAGAGAGACAACGGGGAGGGGTGGATTTTTTATTTGTTAGTTTTTCCACTAAGATATATATTGTCATATGGATTTATTGACATTTGAATTGTTTAGCTTAAACTAAATATTATCGTATGGGTAGACTTGATACATTTGGATTTGTTTAGCTTAGACTGATATATTATCGTATGGATTTGTTATGTGTATTTTTGTTGGACTTTGGATGTGATGTGTATTTCGTCGGATTTGTGTTGTGATGTTGTTGATTACGTAGGATTTGTGTGGTGGTGACGTTGTGTATTTTTGACATTTGTGTTGTGATGTTGTAATTTTATAACTTTTATCCAAGTATACAATGTAAATAATATATTTTTGGCGAAAATTTTGGTCGTATATCGATAAATGAGGCATGTGCATGTTTTGTGCATGTTTTGGCTCTGCCCAGCAAATCCACGGGACTACTAGTCCCGTGGATTTGCTGAGCACAGACGAATATGTCTCCGCAAAATGTACGAGACTACTAGTCCCGTATGTTTTCTGAGTCCACTAAGAGCTGATTAAGTTGGCTCTAAACATACAGGACTACTAGTCCCGTATGTTTTCTGAGCATTGTTTTTCAAAATCGACCTTTTTTTGGCCTATTGGCAAAAAAGATATCTTTTTTGCTAAATATTTAGCAAAGTGGTCTATTTTGCTAAATATTTAGCAAAAGTGAGCTATTTTAAAAAATTCCCCTTTCTTTAAATATGAGCTGGAGACAAAAAGTTATATTGTGTGAGGTTCAAGGGTTGCTCCAATTTTATGGAAGGTCTCCGAAGAGACAAGTTCAAAGGTTGTAAGCGCTAATAATTTAGAGAGTGTAAATGAATGCATTATCATATTACGGAGGGGGTTACGCAATTAACCTTTTTCAAAATCACACCTAGGATTTGGTGGGATGGAAGGTGCACTTTATTTTTATTAGTTTGGAAAAGGCACTAGGCTTGAGCAAATTTTGTATGTCTGTTGTGGTTAGGATCAACGAATTAGACATTAAACCAATACGTACAAAGGTTTCTCAAGGGCATTAATTAATTCATTTATTTGTTGGGCCGAAACGGGCTTAGATTTATCATAACCTGAGCCCCATCGGGTTCTTCCCTTCAACTACAAAATCAAAGAGCAATAAATCACGTGGGGACATCCGGACGTCGAACGATTATTACATATTACTGTCGTTATCATTATTAATTCCATCTTTAAACGTTGAGTAGGGATTTGATTAAATGACAGTCAACGTTAAACTTGATGATATTACTTTTTTTCATATTAGAGGCAGCAGATTTCCTTGAAGAAAATTTGTAGTAGATTTTCGTGGTACCTTATTCTTTTAATTACAATTGTCCTTTTTATGAAAATTTTGGTGCATCACAGGCTGTGAACGAATTACAACCAAATTAACTGGAGGTTATTTTTGCAAAACCATTGCGTATATATACCTGCAGGCTGCAGTTTTGGGAAATCCCCAAAGTGCAAGGCGGGTTTGTGAAATCTACCCAATTCTAAATGTAGTTTCAATGTACTACGTAAATACAATTGTAAACGGTTGCGATATGCAAATAAGCAGATTTCAAAAGGTATGTGGGTAGGGATCAACATGTCAAGTTGGTAGGAGATAGAATATGGTTGAACAGTGCTTACTTACCAATAAAAGCTGGCAAAAAAACAAATAAATAAATAAAGTGACATTTTAGTTAGAGTTAAAATAACAAATAATAATAATATTGAATATAAAGTGACATTTTAGTTTGGAATAGGCAATCCATTTTCTGATTATAAATTATAGGTATAGATTGGTGATAGATAATATGCACAGAGAGCAATATGGAGGGAGTTGATATCAAACATAAGTTTTTATGCTGAGTAATGAGGTAGTTCATTCTCATCCACTCATTTAAATGAGCGACAATATTCACATAAGTTGGAGAATGTATGAGAATGAAACACATCACTATCTAACACAAAATTTATGCTTATACTCTGCCCCTGAATTTCCAAAATTTTAAAAATTAACACACACACATATATGTGTGTGTAGAATAATGAGTATGTTCAGTACTAAGCACAAATTTGATGTTTGATAGTAATGTGGCTCATTTTTATTCATTTATTTAAGTGTGGGGACCACATTCACATTCGTGTATATGGGTTGGATAGTTGAAATGAGTGGATAATAAGTGACCACCTCCTATATATATATATATATATATATATATATATATATAATATATATATATATATATATATATATATAATATATATATATATTAATATATATATATTATATAATATATAATATATTATATATATATAGGACAATTATCTGATTCCTTTAGATTTAAGAAGATAAGCACTAAACCTTGGCATATTTTCAAAAATTATGTTGCCAAAAATTGGTCTACATATTTTTAGAAAAAAAAATTCATATATAATGAGCTAGCCATATATACATATATGTTTTGGTTCTTTGATAAAATAAAAAGCTGATTTATATATAAAGGGTTATTTCAATATTAGACCTGCAAATCTTTAATATTTTATATTTTCAATATTAGACCTGTAACTCTTTATAATATATATATATATATATATATATATATATATATATATATATATATAATATTATATATATATATATATATATATATATATATATATATATATATATATTATATATATATATAATATATATATATTATATATATATATATATATATATATATATATATATATTATATATATATATTATAATATATATAATATATATATATATCGAGAGAGAGAGAGGGGGGGGGGGAGAGATGGGTATGCTTGGTACTAAGCACAAATTTTGTGTTTGGTAATGAGGTGGCACAATCCACTCCACTCATTCAAATGGGGGACCACTATTTGCGGTGAAAGCTAATTTCTTCATTGCTGAATCTATTACACGTTTATCGATTACAGATTCAAATTAAAATTAGTCTTTTTATAAGACTTTCTTACACAATAAAAAAAAATACAACTCTCTTCAAACAAACGCAACGGGTGTTTATCGCCCGCTGCTTACGTGGGATCTTGGCTTGTGACGGGGACGTTGATATCCGTGGACCACCGCCGATCAAATCTGATTGCTGAAAAATCGGGCAGAGCTTCGTTGATTTGCGAAGGAATCAAGAAACCGTAGCGCTTATCTCAGCAACGGCGAGATAATTGCTCTTCTTAAGATTATCGCAACAAGATAATCTTAAGGAACAGACCCGGGAAACTGCAGATCTGACGAGCTCCTCTTCTTTATGCCGACGAACTCGACCAGATCTCTACTCCTCCTCCTCTCTGAAGTTCGTGCACTTTTGATCTTTAATCCGGCAGGGCTTCGCCAACGCTCGAGACTTCCAGATCTCAAAAAATGAAGGCACTGTGGCTGTATTTATAGGCTTCAGGAGCCCTGTGTTTGGATAGGAACGGTTGATTCCCTCTTATCTTCAGTTATAACCACTTTATCACATTTAAAGATAACCCCAAGGTAGCTAGGGAGGCTCTGGAACCGTCAAAACTGATCGAAAACCGTCAAACACACGTCTCGAGTGCGAGACAGTTCGGGGTGTCTCGCACATGTGCGAGACAGTTTGTACCCTCTTCAGTAATTTTGCTCTAATTCTTTCATCTAACCTCAGAATGAGGTGATTCAAGTTGTGTTGAAAAGATAACGAAAAGATCTACAACTTTTATCTTTTAAGATTCTTCAGATTTGAATCTAATCATGGTCAAAACAGTTCTACAAGGTCCGAGACACTTGTGAGTGTATCGGCCATGGCCGAGACACCAATGAGTGTCTCGGGTATTTTGGTTATAACTTCCTCATATGACCTCCAAATGACCTGATCCAAGATATATTGAAAATATAACGAAGATATCTATAACTTTTATCTTTTAAGATTCTTCAGATTCGAATCTAATCATGGTCAAAACAGCTCCACAAGGTCCGAGACACTTGTGAGTGTCTCGGCCATGGCCGAGACACCAATGAGTTTCTTGGATATTTTGGTCATAACGTCCTCATATGACCTCCAAATGACCTGATCCAAGATGCATTGGAAAGATAACAAGGAGATCTATAACTTTCTTGTTTTGAGTTTCTTCATATTCGAATCAGATCATAGCCAAAATCTCTCTACAAGGTCTGTGACACCTTTGGGTGTCTCGGCTTGGCCGAGACACTCATGGGTGTCTCAGCCAATCCGAGACACCAATGGGTGTCTCGGCTTGGCCGAGACAGACACCTTTGGGTGTCTCGGGTTGGCCGAGACACCTCTAGGTGTCTCGCCGAGTCCCTGGACGTAGTCCTGCGCGTTCTGTCCGTTTTCACTGTATCTTCGTCATCTGAACTCGAAATCATGCGATTCAAGATGCATTGGAAAGTCGTCGAGAAGATCTAAAAGATCCCATAATTGAATCATATGTGAAGTGGACAAGACACGAGAGGCTCTCCGCCTTTTGCAAGCGATGCGGGGTTCCCGATCAGTTCGTGTTTCCGTCATTCCGAAGTTCCATCGTTTTGCATGGTCCGTCGACTCACTTCATGTGTTTGTCATCATCAAATGATCTCCTATGACTCGGATAGTAACATTCATCATCTTCTCTCTGTCTCGAGCCGTGTGCGGGGACCTATAGGCAATTTTTGACGTCTACAACCACATGCCACCTCACTACTAAGCACAACTTTTTGTGGTTGGTACCAAACATACCCATCTCTCTCTCTCTCTCTCTCGCTTATAGTGTAGTATAGCATAGATATATAGGGGTTTAGTAGGTAGATATAGATATATATATTATATATATTAGTATATATTATATATATCATATATTATATATATACACTTTAAGTGATACTAAGTAGTTATATATATATATGTATATATTATATATGTATATGATATAGTATGTGGTATAATATACTAGGTATATATATATATGTATATTTATATAGTAGGATATATATTATTAGTATAGAAGTATATATAGTTACTATATATAGGTTATATATTATATATATGTATGTAAGATAGATTAATATGCTATCTAGATACATATAATATAATATTAGTATATATAGTATACATTATTATATATAACACAGTATATATATAATATAACTATTTATTATATTTACACTAATAGTATATATTATATATATAGTATAGTACTAATATGATTATAGTTATATATATTATTATATATATAGTTATATAATATATAGGTATATAGAGGTAGTAGTGTATAATTATAGGTATAATATATATATAATATATTATAGAGTATAGAATAGTTAGTTATTATCATATAGGATATATATGGGATATATGTGTGTGGTGTGTGTGGGGTGTTGGTGGCACACACACACACACCACACAGCACACACACACACCATCATATACCTTATAATAGTATATTTTATATATATATATTAGATATATATATAGTTATTAATATATATAACTATATTAGTATATATTATAGTATTATAGTATGTATATAGGTGAGATAGGGATACTATATTATATATATGGTATAGTATAATGATATTATATTATATATATGTATTATGGATGTTATAGGTTATATATATAGTATATTGAATAGTAATATATGGTAAATATTTATATATATGGTGATATATCATTAGATATATAATAAGTATATATATCATATTATATATAGGTAGTATAGTATATATATAGTAGTATATAATTAGATATATAGGTATATATATTATATATAGATACTATAGTATATAGTGGTATTATATATATATATTATACTAATATATCTGTGGGGTCTTGTTACACACACAACACACACACTACACACACACACACACACAACATACTATATATATAATTATATATATATATATATTATATAATATATATTAATATATATATATGTTGTATATGTATATTATGTATTATTAGTATATAATATACAATATATAAGTATACATATATATACTATACTATTAGTATATATGTATGTATTATAATATAATACATAATGTATCAAGTATACATATATAATAATATTACATATATATATACTATATATCTATAATATATATTGTATTATATATATATGTATGTATATATATTACATATGTATTTATGATATATTATATATTACAGGTACATCAGCACTATGTATAATAAGTATATAGTATTATATTATGTATATGTTATATTTATATAGTATAGTAAAAATAATATAATATAAATACTATATATATATAGTATATTATATTATATATATATATATATAATTATATATTTGCTGAGATTATTCTTTTTGTGCTTTAATTGTTTTGGTTAGTTGTATTCAAACTTATATATTTGACTGGCATATTCAAGCCAAGGTAATATAGGGTTGACGTACTCAAGCTAGGGTAATTGAGTGTTTGACTAGTTAGAGCTAGTTTTTCTTAGTCATTGTGAAGAGTTAGGTTAGACGACTAGTTTCATGTATATTTTAGGGTGTGGTCTTTGAAGCTTATTGAGTCGAGTTATGGTTCACATGAACTCTGGTCATAATGAGTTATGTCCTTCGCGATAAGGAAGAATGAATGTAGGATTTTGATCCAAACCACTATAAAAATCTCGTGTGTTCATGCGTTAGTTTGCTTTTAGTTTTTCACTTATTATTTTTCCACTATGGTTGAGCAATTGACGTTATCATTTTATCAGCTAATCAATAATGAAGAAGATAAAGACATAGAAAAATGATGACGAGAGACTCATGGGACAGAAAGGACTATGAGACGGTAATGGATCATGGACTACTCCGATTTGATCATGGGTAGAATGCATGCCAGGATGTAGAATGGAAACCCATTGAGGAGAGTTTTAATAGGTGGAGCCTACATCGTGGACGAGAAGCTGTTATGATGAGGATTTGGGTGCTTTTAGTGAAGATGGAGACTGGGGTTTTGATTGAGGTGACCACCATGTGGTAGAGGAAGATTTCAGCATTAAGGTGTTTTTCATCGCTGTTATGGTTATGGTCGAGATGGATAAGATGGAGGGTAATTATCAATATGATCTATGCACATGCAAACCGAAGATTGATTTTTTGTACTTTGATGGAGGTGAACCGCTTGAATAGTTAGAGCATATCGATGAGTATTATAGAGTGTTTGAGGTAAATCCTAATTAGTGGATGAAGATTGTCAATTTTCACTTGGACAGGCAAGCTATAACTGGTGGAGGCGGTTGAAGTCTTAATGTAAGAGAGAGACCATAGAGGATTGAGTTGGGCCAAGTTTGTGGAGGAGTTTCTGCAACAATGATGACCTTCATAAGTGATGGACCATCATGAGCAGTTGTCTAAGCTGAGATAGGAAAGGAAGATTGTTGATTACATCGATGAGTTTTGGAGCTTGCAGGTGCTAGTGAGGGATTGGTCGGAGGAGACACTTTTGGGTACTTTTGTGGAGGGTTTGAAACCTTGGATTGCTATAGAAGTGAGGCTTAAGTAGCCCTAGAGATTATCGAAGCGATGAGGATAGCTAGGTTTTTAAAGGAGGGTAGATCTAGTAGTTGGAGTGCTAATATGGAGTCAGCAGCAAGAAACAATCAGATATTGATATCACCAAGGGAGGTAAAACTTCGGGCACCAGCATGAATTCAAGTGACAGTTCAGCAAATAAGGAGTTGAAAAAGCTTTCTAGAGAGAAGGTACATAATATGATAAAGAAGGATTTATGCTTGAAATGTGGGGGCAAGTAAAATGAAGAGCACCAATGTTGGACTAGAGCTGCTTATATGATCGTAGAGTCCAATGATGAGAGTGATACCACCGATCTTGCATACTCTAATAGTGGAGTGAGGGGGCTGATGATTATTGTGAGGCACTGGAGGAAGCATACACTAAACATCATGACAAGAGTTGCTAGACCGTCTACATTGAGGATGACAGCCTAAATTGAGAAGTATGAGGTGTCTTTATTGGTTGAACCTAGTACTTTGCATAATTTCATTGGGGGTTGTTAGGAAGGTGGGTTAGGATTGTTTTAGAGTCTTTTGAGGTAATGATAACTAATAGGGAGAAGATGCAGTATCAGGAGATTCTCATAGGCATTGGTATGAATGTCTAGGGAGTTCAGATTCTGCTAATTTTCACGTACTCGCACTTATTGAGATGGATGTTATTTTGGGCAATGCTTGGCTAAGGCATTTAAGGGATGTGAAGATGAAATTCTAGGATATGCAGATGGTTTTCTGAGCAGGAGGCAAAAGACGCTCATAGACCACCATTTCTAAGGGGTTAAAGGTCTGTCAGGCTAATATATTCAAGCGGTTGTGCAGGCGAGGAGCCAAGCGCTGTGATATTGTCACAGAGGCTGATGATCAAGGTGATTGTCAAGGGTATTTATTACTGGTTGAGTCATGTGTGGGGGATGACACAGAGGATCCATTAGCCCCAAATTAGAGGATAGAGTAAGGCAGCTAGTATAGTAGAACGTTACTCGGGTTCCTGCCGAGCTACTAGTATCATGGATTTAGGATCATGATGTTGTTCTAAAGGATGAGTTGAAACTGATTAACTTACCATCTTACTGCTACACTCACTTTTTAAAGAAGGAGATCGAGAGACAGATTGAGGATATATTGAGGAGTGGGTTGATGTAGCCATTGCCTATTTCCATAGATGATTTTGGGAGGAGTTGCTGACGGGTTTTGTTGAAGGGTCCAGTTGTAGAGGGTTAGACTCTATTTTGGTTGTTATGGATCGCTTGAGTAAGGGGCATATCTTATTCCATTGAAGCACTCATTCACTACCACCAGCGTAGCTCGAGTTTTTTATTTATAATATGGTCAAGTTACATGGCATTCCATGAAGTATAGTCACTGATAGAGGGAAGTTGTTCCTGAGTTCTTTTTGGCGAGAACTATTTGCATTGTAGGGGAGCAAGCTAAAGGCGACCTCATCTTATCACCCACAGATTGATGGATAGACCGAGGTGTTGAATCGTACATTAGAGCAGTACTTGAGGAGCTACTTTTATAAGGAGCAGAAAGGGTGGAAGGATTATCTAGCATGGGCTATGTTCTTCTACCACACCATTTTTCATTTATCAAAACTAGAAGAGTCCATTTGAGGTGATATATGGTCAGACGTCATCACCCATGTTGCAGCCTTATGAGCGGGGAATAGTAAAGAATTATGAAGTAGAGCAAGAGTTACTAGTGAGGGATGAGATTTTGCGAGGGGTGAAGAGGAAATTAGCAAAAGCTCAGAAGCGGAGGAAGAGGCATTATGACGAAGGCCAACAAGATGTGATATTTGAGCAAGGAGAGTTTGTGTACTTGAAGCTAAAACCATATCGTCAAAAATTGCTGAAAAAGGGTTCAATGTTAAACTCTCATAGCGGTACCATGATCCTTTTAAGATATTGCAGTGGATTGGTGAGGTTAATTACAGGTTGGTGTTGCTAGAGTCGTCACTTTTATATCCTATTTTTCATGTATTAATACCGAAAAAGAAAGTGGGGGATTCTGGATTGGTTGTGGGGGAATTAGCTACATTTGGCTCAGGAGGAACATGTCATTAGTTCCTAAAGAGGCGATTCGATATCAGAGCTGAAGGAAGCAACACACTAGGGAGCAGGTATGGCAGGTGTTGGTGAATTGGCAAGGCTTGGTGAAGGACAAGACTATCTAGGAAGATTATGATGAGATTAAGGAGCGGTTTCCATAATTAACACATGAAGACATGTGCAATCTCAAAGGAGAGGAGAATGATATGATTTTCGAGCCTACATTGAGTAATATCAAGGAAAGGGTGATTCATTATTACAAGAGTTTGCAAAAGAGAGAGATCTGAGTCAAAGTAAGAGTCAATTAGAATTATCTTTTTATTTGGAAATTTGAAGTCTATTGGAAATTTTTTTATTAGGAAAGTTTGAGTCTATTAGGAAGTATTTTTTATTAGAAAAATTTGATTAGGAAAGTTTTCGTTGTAGTAGGAATTCTCTTGAGGTATATGTATGACTAACGTTAGCCAAAGTATATATCTTTATTTTAAAGAAAAATATTGCAGAAGACATTGACCTTGAAGCTATTGATTTTTATCGGATTTCTAAGATTTAGACTTAGATTTTTTCTCAGATTTTTTAGGCTATTAGGTCGCTTTATCAACAATCTAATAAATGTTTTGCATGCGCTTTGACGAATGGTGTGGAGTCAAATTAATGTTCTTATTACCACACAACCAAAAAGATAGTTCCCTATTATCAACATAAAATGATAATTAATATCTTGATGATCCTTCAGTTCTTTTATTTTTTCCATTATTTTTTGCTTTAACGTCGATATACAGCATGCATATCACACGTGCAGGAGTAAACGTGTCAAACTACAATTTTCTGGATGAAAAATTACATGGATGGTTATATTTGGACGGAATGGCAAAGAGGAGTGGTCTCGTTTAACTCAAATTACATGTGGCCTAAGCTGCGGTCGTTCCTTATTAAAAAAATAATTTTTTAAACAGACGAATAAGTCAAAAGGGTTGCATATTAAACCAAATTCCGAACTTTTGTTGGCTGGATACCTAAAAGTGACGAAACAAGCTCAACGAATATATAGGTCAACTGTACAAGCAAAGTCTCGTCCATCTCATCATATAATCTTTTCCCACTCATGAGAAGATATATAATTACTAACGTTGACCTGTTTCTTTTTGGTTGAAATGTGCACCTATTCTCTTTTTGCATTTTGATGCATGTATAATTACTAACGTATACTCGAGACAAATGTCTCATGTTATATTATTTTTAGGGTACATATCAGAAACTTACCCTTAATTTTTGACGATTAATGAAAAACCTTCTTAACTTTTAAAATATAAAAAAAAAACTCTTTTTAACTTTAAAATTTTATCAGAAAATCTCTCTAAATTTTAAGGGTTTTTTAACAAAATCTCAAACTTAAAGGGAGTTTTCTGATAATAGTTAAACCTAGCTAAGGGTTTGTTTTTTATATTTTGAAAGTTAAGGGAGGTTTTCTAATAATAGTCCAT